TCCTCTTTCTATGGTGACTTACGATCCTTCCACTCCTTTCCCAGCGCTGGCGTATTTAAGCGACCGGATGTCTGGAACCAGCAACCGCAACCATGTCTTGCACATGCATACATTAACGCCCTACTATCTGAGATCATTTCCGCGAGAACCATGATGTTCAAGGCAGCAAATTTCATTCTTCATTACACCTCAGCTTCTTCTATCCTACCCACCTTGCCCTCCCAATGGCAGTGTGCGTCGGGCTTTGCATCCGAATCCATCCCCAATGGTATCGGCCTGGGTGGCCAACCAGGCCATTTCGGCCTTTTCCTCTCATCTGATTTCGACTCCGGTCACTCGCGCCCCAGCACCACTTTCAACTCCCCCTCACTCTCTTCCTCACCAACTTTCAGTGTAGATGCAGTGGAGTGTTGGGCCGTGAACAGTGCATCCCTTTCCGATAGAATTTCTGCTGGTGAGGGGGTTCAGGAATGCTTGGATCGTCAGGGCTGGAGTAGGGAGCGGGAGATCGGATGGTTTCTGACAGTGGGAGGGGCACGGTGCTTGATCGCTTTGGGAAGGAGCGTGCGATGTTGGGCATGATGGGAATCGCAAATGCTAGTGAAAACATTGGGAGAGACAAAGCGGATTGTGAATTATAGTTCTGAGTTGGGGTGCAAGGGCAAGTTTTTAGTGCATCAAATTGCTGTATCTACAGTTTTATAAAGTGTTTGATGTGTGTAACAAAGGACAATCTAGAATAGGGATTGAGATGTAAGAAAAGGAGGGATAAGAACTTTGGATCAGTATAAGGCAATCCCCGGTCATTAAATACGGTTTTTATCGAACCAGCATAGCGGGCCTGCTTGGTCGGAGCAGTCAACGCAAGTCGAGAATGCGATCCACGTGGCGAAGGTAGTCGCCAAGGAATGAACCTGGCTTTCACGACTATCTGCGTCGAGCTGGCTTCGAACCGCGAACCATTGGTGGATTAGAGTCCAGCCGAGTGCTTCCTCGTCAAGCTGGGTAACCAGCTGTTTTCGTGAGAGTATGCTGAGGGGCTGATGGGTCAGTTTCTTCGAGAAATTCCTTCGCAAAACCGGTAGAGGTGTTGACACGAGTGACTTGTGGGATTTCAGCGAAACTTTCTCTCCCATGGTGTAACTGAGCGACCCAGCGAAGACAGTGCATTGTTGGAGTCGCAGGCACCCACACCACTGCAGATTGGGACTAAGCAACCCTCGTTCCCGCTGGAGCTTGCGAACTCCAGCGACAGTGTTGATTGTTCTTGCGACGATGCTCTTCGCCAACCCCCCTGCGAACCAGCGGCATTCACCACCTCTCTCCCCCCCTCTTGTCCAACGCAACACAAGCAACACAATTCATGGCGCCCCCTGGCATAATCACCCCACCAGCAGCTCTACTTATATCCCTGAGAACGCCATAGTTTCAACGCCACACACCGACGACTTCAGTGAAACGTGTTCCTCAAACCCGCTCCGAGAGTAGATAGAACGTGCAATAGCTAGAGTAGCTGGGGTTATCTTCGACGAGCCTTTCGAAAACCAATATCTCCATTGGATTAGTGCTACCAGGGGACGACTCACGTCATGGCGTTACCGGCGTTTCCTTCAGCTCTTATTCCTCTCCCTTATCCTCTCCACAATCCACTCTCCATGCGCCCTCGGGTTCTTTAATCGTGGCCGGATCCTCATTCCGCCGCCGCACCAGCAGCACGCGCGCTTTAGAGACCTCAAGATCGGCCGCTCGAAGCTCCCGCTGAGCCCGTTCGAGTCCCAGGCAAAAAACGCGACCGAATTTCAGCTGAACGTCGCGAATCACGCGAGGGTTTCGCCTGTGGATAAGGCGGCGCTGCGGGATGCTAAGAAGCGAATAGAATCCGAGGCGCGCACGAAACCACCTTCGGAAGCTTCCTCCATCGCATGTCCATCCGCGGCGCGGACCCCGAGAAGGAGTATAAACGCTTCTCGAGCCGCGTAGAGACCATGAAGGAGAACGACTACCAGATTTACTACTATGGCGGCGCGGTGCTGACGCAGCCGATTAATCTCTACATCATCTACTACGGCACGTGGTACCAGTCGGAAGTTAACATCGTGGAGACTTTCATAAGATCCGTCTCCTCAACCTCGTACTCCTCGGTGTGTGCATCTAAACTCCTTCGTTAGCACGCCTCTGCTGCATTTCCTACTCGTCCCAAATTTGCAAAACAGGCCCCTCCCCGGCACGTGGTACCAGTCGGAAGTCAGCCGCGTCGTGGATTTTTTCACCTGGAAAATTTCAAGTCTACTTCGTCGACCTCGCACTCGTCGGTGTGTGCGAGAAGAACCTTTCTCTCTCCTCATTTCTGGCCTAAATTCCTCGACGAGGCGGAAACAGTTTTATTGTAACCCGACACGCGTTTTTCTGCCGCTGGACAGCCCCACTCGAAACCCTAATCGTTTAGAGTTTGGCCAGAGCCCCCGCAAGCCCCAGCTTCCCCTTCTCGCCCGCCCCCAGCGTTCGCCAGAGTGACTCCCGCCTGTACCTTCTCGCCGCTCTCCTGTCGCCTCACTGCCGCCCGCCTAGTTTCCTGCAGTGCCGCTGCATTCAGGATTGCGCGACAGGGTACCACCACGGTGCGCGGATGGTGGAACGTGATTTTATTGGGGCTTCATCTCGCCTGAATTCTCGTTGCCGTGCCCTTCCCCTAACCCTTCCCCTTCCCCAACCCCTCCCTCCTCTTCTTCTTTTGCCCTTAGGATTACGCCACGGTGCGGGGATGGAGGAAGATGATAGCATCGCGGCTTGGTCGCACCTCAATTCTCATCCCCACGCCCTTCTTTCCCCTTTTCCTCTTCCCCCTCCCTCATCTTCTTTTGCCCTTAGGATTACGCCACGGTGCGGGGATGGTGGAAGATGATAGCATCGCGCTACTATCAGATATCTCAGGGAAAGTACTCCTACATCACTCCCAAGGTAATCCTAAAGGCTTGAAATAAGTCTATTCGACTCAAGAATATACTCCTGCATCACTCCCCGGGTAAACCTAGCGGTTTCTTTCATTTAACGTTCCCTGTGTATTGGGTGCTGTACATACTAGCATTCTATTGAGGTATCTGGTTCATTCCGTTCACTACGGTCCATTCCATCGCTCTTCGCCTCCCTTCATTGCTCTTCACCGCTCTGGGTTGCCCTCGAATATTGCAGATAACGCTGGCAGGGACAGCATATGACAAGTACTCCAGCTCGAGCATCGTTGGAGGTAAGCTTACAATCTGCATTTGCATGCGATCATATCTGGAGCAGCAAAATGTTTCCCTTACGTTCTTTCTTCCCACTTCATTCATCCCCCTTTCTAGATTCCCCAACCTTATTCCACATTTCCCCGAATATCCAATCCTCAAACCCGTTACAACTAGTGCAGCTATTGAGAAGCAGATCATGACAACCAAGCGCTTCCCCTTGGATCCGAACGGGATCTACATGGTGCTCTCCAGTGCCGATGTTACGGTTACCATTGGCGGGGACGCCTTCTGCGACAAGTACTGTGGACTCCGGACTGCGTTCACTGGGATAAAGAACGGTGTCAGGAGGCTGTACCAGTATATTCACGTTGGCAACCCTATTCGGCAGTGCCCGGACTCTTCCTGCGTTCTCGGACAGAGCGAATACTATTAGTAAGTGTCCTGTAAATCTCCTGTTGTCGCACAGTTTAATCTCCAGATGGTTCCATTCCATCACTTCTTCACCTGCTCCTCTCTTTCGCTTACTTCGCTAGTGGGTGTTAAGCTTGAGCCTTCATTCTCACCCTTGGTTTTCCCACCCTCCCTGCATTGCTTTTCTGGCCAGCAAAACGCCAAATGGGAACTGGGGTGTGGACAGCATGATAGCAACAATCGGCCACGAGTTGGCAGAAGCAGCCACGGAGCCTGACTTGGAGAAAGGTTGGCATGACGAGACGGGGATGGAGGTCGGAGACAAGTGCTCTGCTGACCTTAGTGCCAAAGTTTGGGTGGCAAATAAGGACACAAAGAACAGCTACATATTTAATACAGTCGGGTCGAATGGCGTGAGGTTCTTGCAGGAGGCAATCTGGAACTACTCACCCAAGAGTTGTGTTGTGCAGTGAAGGATAGGAGGGATTAGTGCAGGGCTGTGCCTCCGGCATCTGTATTTGTAGTATTTGTATGCCGGGAATAATGCTATTATTCTGGGTTTCTGCTTGCATCGAGTTCTGAGCGTGAGGGTTTCGAAAGGTTTACACAACTGAAAGAAACAAAAAGCAGTCTTGCAGGCAGCTGTTCTCAGACATGCTCGGCGAGGTGTGCCATTCATTACACTCAGCATGGCATTGAGGCACCCTGGAAGGATGCGATGCGAGAGGCAGTAGGGGACAGGAACACAGTGTCTTTGGAAAAGGTACCGTCCATTCCAATCAGCAAATGACCAATGATCAGAGTTTGCTGAGAAATGCGTCTGAGTGCTGCTCTAGAATTGTGTCCGATACATGTCTAACAACTCCAGCGCCTTCAAAATGCAACCACTCCATTTTCACCTGCGAAGAAATAGAGCAGATGAGAACTCTCTGGCAAATGGAGCAGCAGAAAAAGATTATCTGCATTGCCAAGGACTTACAAGGATGTTGTTGTGGGCAGAGAATGGCCAGAAGGCCTCCTCAAAGTTCACGTCCACCTTCCTCCACGACACCCGTTGCAGACCAGCAATCATATACTCTGCATGGAGGGAATAACTAAGTTGCTGGGGTATCAACTGCGGGCACAAACCTTGCAGCCAACATACTCCTTGACAGTATTCTTACCTTGATAAAGCTCGTGATCCTTAGAAGGGTTAGTTGTGAAAGATCTGGGATCAGGCAAATCAGTGCCCTCAGCAGCAAGACAATTTTGGACAAGCACGATGTGGCGATAAAGCGGGCTAATCGATGTCTTCGGAAGCTGCAATAAGTACACAAACGAGCTTGTCAGGGTACTCAACTACCAAATTTCCACTACCTGCCAAAAGATGGAACCACTAAGCCATACAGACCACGGGAAGCTCAGCTGCTCTGCGGATAGACGCGGTTTGCCAGCCAACCATGCGGTCGTAGCCAGCATTTGCATAGCACAGTCTCAACCTGAATGCTTTGAGTGCTGATCTGAAAGAACACATGGAGTGCAACTCAGCAGTTTCAAACTCGTGTTGAATGACTCATTTGCACAAGCAAGATGGGAATATACACTCACAGGAATGGTTTGCCTTTGCTGTCAGCGGCCATTTCAACGAGAATAGGAAGCTTTGTTTCCGACAATGAGCCATCAGAAAGGAAGAGCTGGCTTCCTGTTTGCCCGGTGACGAGCGGAGCTACAGACGGAGCGAGCTTCTCCAAAAATTGCACACCCAACAGAAACGGAAGCTGCAGGGGGATCATGAGGGGTGGTAATAAGCCTGATTTTTTCCCAACAGCAAGCCTTGATTCATCAAAAGAGCACGACAGATGGAGCTTACCTGACCCTTTCCAAAAGCTCCCAAGTGTGGGGTAGCCAACGTGATAAAACATACTGGCTCCAAACCGGCAATCAACCCAGGTCGTTGATCAGGGTCACCAACGGTAACCCCCTCGCTGCACAGTTGCCGCCATACGGATTGTAAATCCAGGGGAGACGCGGAAATCCGTCCTCGATGAAAGGAATTTACTAAAGGAACTGAATTACTCACCTGTTATGTGGCTCGTGGAGCAAGGCAATCGCGTAGCGAGAAAATAGGCCTCCTAAAGAATGAGCCACAAATGTTATTCTTTGTAGACTGGGATTCTTCTTTACGAGAGTCCTGACCTGTATATGGATCATATGGATTCTACTTTAAGATGTTAAACAGACATCGCATATGCTTTGCTGACATTAAAAGGGATTGCATTTGCCCACCTCATTGGCTAGACGTTCTCCGGCCGTTACGACGCCTTGGAAGGTGAGAAGAAACTCGTTAGACGAGCTTGCTGCGAATTCACAGGCCCAACGAGGTTAGGCTACCACTTATTTAGCAATAATGAGCCCTGCTGATCTCTAACAGCCAAGACTGTGACTTACGGACCATAAATGAGAAATCGACGTCCCAGTTTCTTTTTCAGCTCCCCTCGAAGGTAATCCCAGTCACGTACTCTGAAAGGCCATTCCACAAACGATCATTCGGGCTTGAAAAACAACTTCCTAGTCCACCGACGAGACCGAACCCGCTGTGAGGTAGCAGGCTTAACGGCGAGTCGAGAACTTACGTTGACACGATGCCGTGAACAAGTATTACTGCATGAACTGGATCCTCGTCACTGCGTTTTGACACCGTGCGGCTTGCTGACTGTTTCGAAAACCGAGAACTTTTTGACGAGCTGGTGGAGGCTTCTTCAACTACTTCCATGCCTCCTGTCTCTTGCCGTTCAGCTATCACCTGCTTCCAGTCTACGGAATATAACGAGCCACTAGTCTGCATGCGCTGGGGTTTTGCCGTGCATCTTACTAAGCTTAGCTGTGCTGCTGAAGTCAAACGAGGCAGCGACCACCCCAATTTCGACATTCTGCAAGTCCCCTGACAAAGCCCTTTCGGCTCGCACTCCGCTATCCCGAAACCATCGCGACACTCTCAAAGGCAATCGAACGACGCCGAGCTGAATTGAACTGAGCCCCCTCGGCGCGGAGTGCAAGAGCCGCAGCCTAGCGTCGGTGCTACTACGTAGTGTTCAAGAGAGGGAGCTTCACATTTCCCTCCACCGAGATTGCCGCAGGCCTGTTGTTGGCCCATGTCTCAGTTTGTGCAGGCGAGAGCGTGTGATGGGCTGGGGGTGGGTGGGGGAGAACTCATGAGTCATGATCAATCCAAGCTGACGTGGAAGTGCTGGCTTTCAGGGGATTTGATGATGAGACGATAGAGGGCTCACAACGGGAGCTTCGTTACAGAGTCATTACACGCCAGACCAACCTACACTCTTTTTCAAAAACGACACGTTATCCTAACTTTATGAGGACTCATGCTAAAATGCTTTCACAATATTTATTAACAAGATTTACACTTACACAAACACATCCACCGAGGCCAGGGCAACTAGCTTGGCGGGAAAAAATTGCCACGATGAAACGGAGGCTGCACGTCAAGCATCGCATTGCTCATACAAAGCTTGGCCAAGTTTTCCCGCCGTTGTTCAAGGCTTTTAATGTATTGAATGGCCATGCTGATTAAGGTACACGTGTCCATCTTGGTGAACGACGCCCGCCTCTGCTGGCAAAACGTAGAGGGAATGGCGTCTTCAAGCTTGCTGAACGCAGCCCTGAAAAAAGGAAACAAAATCGAAGAGGCTTAGTAGTTTATTCAAGCGATTAATTTCTAACAAACCGAGCCATACGAAGGCTGTTCATATGACGAGAAACTGCAGGCTTACAGGATGCGGTGTCGGCGATTCTTCTCGCGCATACTTCTCGGTTGGATATCGCCCTTGCTAAGATTCCCGCTCCATTGAGATCCGCGGTTAGTAGGCGCAGCAGATGCAAGCTGATCTGGACACCGCGCCATGGGAGCGGCTGTGTCACAGCATTCCGCTCGCACGGGCCGCTGGGCAGCCAAATCGTTACTCCGCGAGGAAAGGGCTTCCTTTTTCACTTGCGGGAAATCGTATGCGATATCTGCAGCGCCGCGCGACGGCAGAAGAGCTTGGCCTGCCGGAAAAGAATGCCCCGCTGCGATAAGCGCGTCGTTGAGCATGTGCTGAATAATAACCGCATTGTCTATTCCGGCGGAACCGTTGGACTTCTTCTTTCCGGCGCGGCTCTCGATGATTTCCTCCGAATGCCGCTTCTTTCCAACCCTGGCTAGTTCTTCGTCGCTCGAATCGCCGCGCCGCGGTTTAGCGGCTACAGAAACTTCCGTGGACGCTGACATCGCGCTGCGAGTCGACGTTTCGAGGCTCTGGTGACAATTAGGAGCGTCTGCTTGAAAGAAGTTACTCGCGGGTTGCCAGCAGAAGTTGTCGTACCAAGGCTCGAAGCCGACGAGTTCTGGGAGCAAGCTTGCAAGTGCTTGTGACATCGCGTTGGAAACGGGTCTCTGTGGACCTGAGGGCTGGATAAACTGATACAGGACAAGTAGTAGGGCTACTGCCACAATACGGTATTGCAGGGCTGATCGTGAGTGTGGAGTGGATGGGTGGGATGGGAAGCATTTAGTAGTGGAGGGAGCGGGGGAGGAAGCAGGTGTGGGGAAGAGAGAGGGATGCAGTTGTGAGACACTTGCAGCGGGGAGTGAGGCGAAGATCAGCGACGATCGACGACGATGCGAAACAGAATCTGCGCGCGCCTCCTATGACCTGGGGGGCGCGCGCGAGACTCGTAGCCTCCGCGAATCCACTTCCCGTGTGACTTTCTCCCCCAACCCCAAGCTCAACGCTCCATGAAGCGCGGCTGACAGCAGCAAGCATCTCCCCGGCTTCTGTGCGGGGCAAGCTCGGGTTAGGGGAAAGACTGGGGCCAGATGCATCTGGACAGGATCCAGGGGGGGAGGGGGATTGGAGGTGATCTCTTGTCGCTTTTCTTTGATTCAAACAAAAGCTGATCGACTTGCAGCAAAACTGTCGTCACGTGTTTGAAAGGGCCAACGAGATTTTTGACAGCGCAGAGTCAGCAAGTCTCTGATTCGGCAAGAATACGTGGGATGCCGAGGTGTGGTTGGATTGGATTGGGGCTCACTCGTCGTCTATAGGACGAAGCGGACGCAATCTAACATCAGCGCTGCTGACATGTCCGATGGGGAAACAAATGGCAGGAATTTGTCGGTGATAGTGTCCGTATCTGAAAGAATCACGTGAATGTTATAAGATTCACATGGGACGAATCGTCGTTACAAGACATCGAAGGGCCAAACTGGAATTCAATACCCAGGATTTCAAATGGCGAAGATTAATAACCCGCATGGTACATCTATATTTGAATATCTGACTATAAAGCAAGTACAACACAAACACATCACCCATCCCAAACTACCACAAGAAACAGACATACGTTAGCACCTGCTGGGCTGAGTATAGCCCAAGGATCTTTTCAGAAGGCTATGCCCTTGTAACAGAGTGCTTGATAGCAAAGCGGAAATCTTGAGTTTGAACCCTTGTATCGGTATGTGAGAACAAGCGATTGATTATAGCAAAAGGATATAAGCTTAATAGAACAATACAAGAGAATATGAAGAGTCTAAATGTTTGTGCACTTCAAGGGGTGCGTTCCCTTGTATCTGGACGGTTATTTTTCCTTGCTGTCGCGCTGATTCTTGACTCTTCCGATTCTGACTGTTGGGTTGCACGATCAACGGTCTGCGTCCGTTGCCCTTTTGTAACCTCTGCGGGGTGTCGTCAACCTGCGTCAACTGTCGGTAATACTGTAGCAGTGTTGACTCGATGGTCCCTGTTGCTACGGTCTTCGCGTATTCGTACACTCACGCAAGAGTCCGAAAATGTCTTAAGTTTTTATATCATTTCCAACACCCTCCATTTCTAGAGTGTAGATGTGGTCAAGGTTGCCGACGTGTTGCAGTCCAGTCAGCAGCATGCAGTACTTGGACTTCGACTTCATCAGCTTCTTGGTCAACTAGTCGGCTGCCATTTCAGTGGTGGGATAGTAAACCAATTGGAGGTGACCCTCCTCGATCTCGTCCTGCACGAAGAAGTAACGAAGCGAGATGTGCTTCGTCCTTATCGCGAATTCGTTTTTGTTGGCGATTCTAATTGCTGATTGGTTGTCGCAAAAGAGAGAGAAGCTCGGTAACTCAGCAATCTTCGCTTCTTCAAGCGGCTCGCGTAGGTACAGTCATTCCTTTGAGGCTGTGCGATATATTCGGCTTCAGCAGATGAGAGAGCGATTAGTTCTTGCTTTCCCGGGTGCTAGGAGATAGTGCCGATAGTTTCTAGATTGTAGATGTAGCGGTGCATGAGCGTCGGTTGTCCTTATTGCTGGCGTGATCAGCGTCGACGTAGCCGATAAGTTCGGTTTTGGTAGCAGCTTTCTTATGGTAGGTCATGCCGATCGTCGGGGTCGAGAAGAAGTAGTGGAGCACGCGATCGAGCTCCCCCCGTTCATATCGCTTAAGGTAGGTAGCGAGCTAGCTAGCCGCGTAGGAGAGATCAGGACGACAGGTAACGGCGGCGAAGAGCAGACATCCTAGTTTCTGTTGATATTCCTGGATCCCGGCTGGTGCGAGTAGCGAGACGGTCGACGCGGGAACTGGCAGCGCATAGGTGTACAGAGTAGCGAGAAGTAGTCGGGACAGGTCAAACCTCCGAGCGATGGACTCGGTGCACTTCCAAGCTGTGAGGTGGATGATGTCGGGGCCGTCAGTGAGGTTGAGGCCGAGGTACTGCGTTACGGTCGGCGACACGGTTATCGTTAGCTCGAGTTCTAGCTCCCCTTCGAACCAGACGGTGATTGAACTAGCGGAGCCGTCGTAGAGCAAATCATTTATGTAGGCGATCAGCAGGACGTAGTCGCCGATGTGTGACAACCTGTACATGCCTTGATCGTGAGATAGTTGGGCAAAGCCCTGCTATTTAGGATCCAGTGCAGGTACTGCTGCCATAGGCATGGGGCCTGCTTGATTCTGTAGATGGATTTGACCAGGTTGCAGACTAGCGTTGGGTCGTCGACGTAGGCGTGGGGCTGCTCGACGAAGATGTCAGCATCAACAGGGGCGTAGAGGAACGCGCTGACGACGTCGATTTGTCGCAAAGGAAGGCGACGGGCGGCGGCGACAGCGAGTAGAATGCGAAAGGAAGTGTGGCGAGTGACCAGAGCGAAGGTCTCGGTATAGTCATTACCGTACTGCTGGTCGAATCCGCAAACCACCCATCGTGCCTTGAATCGTTTCATGGTTCCATCTGCTTTGGTCTTCACTTGGAAAACCCACTTTCCGGAGAGAATGGTCTTCCCCTTGGTATGAGAAATCGGTATCAGCTTCCAAGTGTTTCGCTCGTACAGTGCCAATAATTCTCGATCCATTGCCTCCTTCCATTTTTCTCTGTGTGGTCCTTGAAGTGCGCGCTTGACAGTTGTCGGCTCCTCGACTGGCGGCGGTGAGGACGGATGATGCACGGCTGCTACGAGTCTGACGATTTGCAGGCCAGTTTTGGTGTAGCATGGGAGTGTTGGATCCTCGGGATAGTGTGCCTTGTCTCCCGCTTAAGGATCAGGCACGAAACCTGGTCCTATGCGTTCTAATACGTTGGTGTTACCACTGTTGGATGTTACGTAACCAGCATCGACGAAGTGGTAGTAGGCTTCAGCGTTCGCGCTTTCGCGAGGATTTTCTTCGTCCATCTGCATGCCGATGGAGCAGTAAGGACGTGGTCCTGTAGTTGCTGATGCGTCCGGGACGTTCTATTCCTCCTGCAGCTGCTGACGCGTGCGCCAGTGAAACCATCAGATGGATTTTAATTGGCTGCGATGTTCTCCAGGTAACGGTGGAGCGTGAGGTTCTCGTAGAAAATCACATCACGCGCTGGTACTGTTTCCTTATTTTCAACGTGTAAAAATTTTCAAGCCTCGTAGTGTTTTTTTACACCCAGGTGTAGGCCCCATCTTACCCGCTGCGAAAATTGTCCAACTCGTGCAGTGTGCAGACGATACTGTACCATGCAGCCGAACACTCGTAACAGTTTTGTGCTGCCTTGCTTCCCTGTCCACAGCAGATGCGGTGATGCATTGTTTGGCAGGGAGCTTGATGATAGGAGAATCTGCAGCATGACGGCGTGATTCATCGCCTCCAGCCACTGTGAGTTGGGCTGACGCATCCC